GTAGAAATGAAATATGATACATGTTTGTTTCATGACAATGACGTGTATTTTTGCCTTGTCACCTGCTCTTGCAATAGCCCTTCGGGCACGTAAGGCAGAAATGATAGGTGAAGCAATTAGACACAACATGCTTACCGAGACTTTTGCTCATCGTTCATTGGCAGCGCTCATATGCACACATGGTTTGAAACAGCTGCAGTGCCAGACTGAAACTACAGAGCAGAACAAAGTGAAAGCTTGTAAATTTCCGCAAGGCTACATCGAAGACAAACATCTAGCTACGATGGAGCTTCTGTCTTAGTTGTGTACTGAAAGCCTGTTGGATGCTGCTGGATGAACGTGATCAGTTTTGACACTGAAAACCACAGTTATGATTTGGAAGTCTTCAGCTTAAAATAGGATAAAACTAGAACTGCACTATATGGCCAAAAGTATGTGGACATCTGACGATCGCACATGAGCTTGTTGGACGTCCCATTCTAAAACCATAGGCATTAATATGGAGTTGGCCACACCTTTGCAGCTAAAACAGCCTCCAATCCTCTGTTAAGGCTATTCACAAGACTTTAGGGTTGCGTTTGTGGGAATTCCTGCCCATTCAATCCAAGGAGCATTTGTAAGGTGAGGCATTGGTGTTGCATGAGATTGCCGGCCACACAATCGATGTTTAACTCATCCCAAAGGTATTCAGTGGGATAGAGGTCAGGGCCCTCGCTTTGTGCAGTGGGCCAGAGTCATACTGGATCACAAAGTATGTAATTGTTTAAAATGTCTTTGTATGCTATAGTATTAATATTACTCTTCACTGGAACTAAGGGGTCAAGCCCAAACCCTGAAGACCATTATCCCTCCTCGACCAAACTTTACTGTTGGCACTATGCATTCCTGTAGATAGTATTCTCCTGGCATCTGCCAAACCCAAATTCATCCATCAGACGGCCAGATAGTGAGGCATGATTCATCATGCCAAAGAACGTTTCTACTACTCCAGAGTCCAGTGGAGGCATGCTTTTCACCACTCCAGCTGATGCTTGGCATTGCACATAATGATCTTATGCTTGTGTGCCACTGCTTGGCCATGGAAACCCGTGTAATGAGGCTCCTGATACACATTGCTTTCGTTGATGTTGCTTCTAGAAGCGATTTGAACTCTAGTGAGTGATGCATGATTTTTAAGAGCTCTTTGCTTCGGCACTTGGTGGCTTCACACAGTGAGTTTGTGTGGTCTGCCGCTTCGTGGCTGAACTGTTGTTGCTCCTAGATACTTCCTTTTCAAATAACAGTTGTCTGGAGCAGATCTAGCAGGACAGAAATTTGACAGACTGGCTTGTGGCAAAGATTGACATCCTGTACCATTTTTAAAGTCACTGAACTCTTCAGTACGACCCATTCTACTGCCAGTGTTTGTCTACAGAGATTACATGCTTGATTTTTTATACCTCTTAGCAATGATGTGGTAGAAACCCTTGAAGTCAGTAATTAGGAGAGGAGTCCACATGCGTTTTCATAATCGATGAGGCCCTGTTAGTTAATTTAGTTCGGCCAAAGTAAAGGAAAGAATAGTGATACAAGTTATTATTAAAGATTCTCAGCAAGGCTGTGTGCTTTTTTTTTCCTCAACTCGCTCAGTTTGTACATAATCCTATTGCAGAAACCCCCAATGCGGGCAGAATGCAGCCACTTTTAAGCTCTGCTGCCAGCTTTTTTCTCTCAGAGCAAAAAAAAAAGTCGAAAAAAGTTCCACTTTTTAGAAAGACACAGTGACGTCAAGCATTTTTTATCAGGCAGCTAATCAAGTTAGAGCTTAGTGAAAATAACCAAGATAGAATGTTAAGTACTGGTAGAACCTTTTGTCTCAATTTGCAGAAGAACTCTTCTCCTCTTCATTTTCTGCCTTCAAAGTGAAAGTTAAAGCAAGCACCCTCCTTACTGAACTAATCTAATCCTCATCATTAATAATAAATCTGATGCTTCCAAGCTATACACTAGGCATAGCTCCAGGCAGTGCTTTTTGAATACAAAGAACACAACCTAATGTGTGAAAAGTGTCAACTTTGTCTTCTCTTTCTCATCACTGTCATATGTGAGGAATGAAATCTAGTTCTTACATTTATAGTAGCTATATTATAATAAAAGTAAAAGACCATACACTGTATGACTAAACAGGCCGTGATAAATAAACTGTTCTCTTTGTATATTTCCTACTCTGCCCCGCCATTTTCTCCGTGTGGAAATCAAACACAAATAATTTCTATTGCACAAAAAGCCCCTTTCTATTAGAGCTGTCCAGTTCCAGAAAATTCTGGAGTCAGCTCTGATTCAAAGTGTTTTGGAATCAATGGAGTTGACTATCCATGTGGGTTCTGGAAGGTTGCATTTTTCATACAGACTGTCTGTACAGTGATCACAGAATGTCTCATGCTCTGTATGCACACTGTGTGGAATTGAGTTCAAAGCTTTGGAGTTGACTGTCTATTCCCAAAAGCCTGGAATTGAGAATCTATTTTTTTGGTGGGATTGACTCCCAGTTCTTTCTATGCATTTACAAATCCAATATGTTAATGCTATTTTTTATTTCTGATGATCTAAATGGACTCCCACAGTGTGCTGTGAGTCAAAGTAATTACATCACCCCAGTTACTATACATAAATCATTCCATTTTAACAGGATGTCTGTGGCCCCCAGTGTTTTCCAACGAAATACACCTCCCTCATTTTCCATTGCGTCATGCATCAGCAGGGGCTTTCTTTCACTGATGTAACGTTGATTAGGACTACAGAGTCATTAGTGTTTGTGGTTGGTCACAGTTTTATTTATTTGTCTTCTTTGCTCTAATTTGATTCAAAAGAAAGACTTTTTAAGAGTATATTTTCTTATAGCTGTATGAATGGACAAAAAAAAGCTTCATCGGAATGTGTTTATTACCTTCAATAATTCAACTTAGAGTCTGAACATAAAATCATGGGAACATAGTTAGAACACGATGAGAGCAGATTCCAGTTTTCATCACACATTCAGTGAGAGTAACAGGGGCTGCATGTTCCAAACAATCAGTGTATATATTGCATATGTTATATATGGATTGTTCTGCCAAATTGGATTAGAATTTCAGACTTCTAACTGACGAAGTTAGACTAAAATCCTTTTGCATAGTATGTTCCTATGTCTTGATTATTTTATTAAAACAAATGAACGTTTGGGTCTTTGCCAAATGTTTCAGTAGTGACTGTTGCAGTAATGACAGTTTTACACAATTTTGATCATAACTCAGAAATGCTACCCAGTACATGACTAGCAAACAGCTTTGAACAGTTATACATCCATAAAAACTATTTTTCATTGAAACCACAAAAATATACTTGCATACTTCACAAAATGTATGTCAGTACTTACAATTCGTAATGTTCCCACTAATATTTAGACATTTACTTCAAAACAATGGGATCTAACTGCTCACCACGTGGTCATAAGGGACAGGGATACAGTCTCACTCCCTGCTCTAAAGTGCAGGGGTGTGACTAAACCAAGGCTTCGCCTATGGAGTAAAACTCTGTTTTGATAGTGAATAAAACATGAGACAGCATTTGTAAATGAAGTTTTTATTTAAAAATTAATTCAGACTGGATCTACCGATGGTTTGAAGGATCAAGCTAGGAAAATACATTAAGGAATTAAAAAGAAAAGCCACAATAAAATCAGTGATGAACTGTGGCTATAAGGGCTTCAGTTCAGGCCATGAAAGTCAAATCTTGGTCAAAACATGAGGAAAACCCACTTTTATGATAATGCTAACTTCAGCTAGCTTCCCTACAGGATTCTGGTAGTTTGTTAGCACTAATCTTATGGTGGTTCCTATGAACATTTTTTTGGCTATTCTAGATTAAACACAGGCATTCAAAGCTTTAAAAGACATGCCATGTTGTGCTTAAAGCTTGTCACAGACATGTTACATATAAGTTTAACTTATTTTTGTGAATAAGTTACCTACATTCACAGTGACTCTTTGAGTAGTGAGGCCTGATGAAGAGCTGCCACAGTGCTTTCCATTTCTAACAACCTATTGGTTCCTGCCACTTACATAACTTCCATAAGGCCTAGAGTGGTGTTTTTTCTCTGAAGGCCTAGAGGGCCCTGAAGATTCCCTTATAAAGATCTGTTTTTCTGTATAATTTTGGCAGATACTGATAAATCATCGCATTCATTAAATCATTAAAATCTCTAGGTATTATTGGCCAGCCAGTATATTGTTTGGGCCTTAGTGTTGACTGTTTATTTACATGGCATTGGTGTTGTCTGCTCCAGCACCCCCCGCGACCCAGAAGGATGAGCGGTTTAGATGGTGTGTGTGTGTGTGGTGTTGTGTGCATGGTTTGGCAGCAACACTGTCTGCTTTGTGGAGCCAATGGCTGCTCCAATAAGCGGTTTGAGTTCAGTAATTGGACAAGCCTGTGTGCAATTTTATTGTGTCAGTATGTGTTTTTCACCCAAGTTGTGAGCCAGTGTATGGGAGAGAAGAGCATAAGGAAAGGACATTGGGTCCTTCTTTGCCGCTTTAAGACCGGTTGTGCTGACTGCAATAGAGTAAACATGGTGCTGGACAGCTCCTCTATTGCAGTAGAGAGAGGGCTGAAGAGGAGCAGGGAGGAATATATGGCTGAGGGTGCACTCAGCCTCAGACAACATATCTGAACCATGTGGATTTAGGAATAAACAGCTCTCTCTCCTTCGTTAGCATGTTTAACAGTTTAAATCACAGCCACACATGCGAAATGAAAAATGTTGCTCTCATCTAGAGGGACTTCTCTGTGCACTCAGCTGTGTAATAGACTTTCAGAGAGGTGATTTACTCTTTGTGTGTGTGTGTGTGTGTGTGTGTGTGTGTGTTTTAGTGTGTTATATTATATTTTGGTTATTCTCTGTGTGCTCCTGTGTAAACCGTGTAAAAGTGCAGTCTGCCAGTCTCACACTGTAGTAATGATATATTTTTGTCTTTTCACAGCTCTGCTATATAAACCTATTGACCGTGTCACTCGCAGTACCCTCGTACTACATGTGAGTATACAGCTCTCCCTCCCTCCCTCCCTCTCTTTTCTTTCTCATTTCTTACTCTATGTCTCTCTTCCTCTCTCTCATCTTTCTTTTCTCACTTTCTTTCTCTCTCGTCTCTCTCTTTCCTTATCTCTTTGTCTATCTCATCTCTGTCGTTGTCTCTCATCTTTCGTCTGTCTTTCTCTCTCTCCTTTATCTCTCTCTCTTGCCTGTTTTTCTCTCTCTCTCTCTCTCTCTCTCTCTCTCTCTCTCTCTCTCCCTCTCTCTGAGGTGTGTTTTTGAACTGAGAGTTGGCACATAAGCTGGTGGGCAGAGTCTGAACAATAGCTGCTGTATCACAAAGGTCACCTTTAGTTAAAGCTACTAGAAACACACACACACTGTAGTCCTCTGTTATCAGAGAGCATTGAGTGCTCTGTGAGTTGTCTGTGAGTGATCTGTGATCTGTCTGTGCCAAGAAGCACTCTTAGAAAAGTGCTGACTTTATGAACTGCAGCCAGTGAAATGAACTGTGGCCCATCTTACACTGACCTGTTCACCTGCACTGGGACTGCACAATTTAGTAATTTCTGCAGTTCCTGGACACCACAGTAGGGCAAAGAGCAATTACAGACCAGATCATACTTAAGCGTGGTATATTTCTAGTGTTGCTATAGGACAGTAGTGTAGAGATTTGAAACCCATATTTTGAAAATGAATTGCTGTTTAATGTTTTTTTGAGCATGAACATTACATCAAGGTACTTGCACTTTTTACGTGAACAGTCCATTGTTGGATACACCAGCATCTTCTTTGACAAAAAAATGCAAACTTTTTTTTTACTTCCTTTCTCAGTTTCTCAGCTTCTTGACAGCTACACATCCTTTCAGACCCATAGCATTTAATAGACAGAAACACCTGTGGATTATTTCTAACTAGAATGGAGCTTGATTTTCTCTCAAAGATGAATGCTTTAAGTGTGGTTTATCTGGTGGGGCCAGTTTTTGTGGGCTGCCAGGTCTTGGTTGTTTTCATAATTTTTTGAATTTCTATCTTAGATCTAATCTCCATACAGACTTTTGTACAGTACTGTATATTTATTTTCAGTGGTTTTTATGTCCCAGTTTTTTTGCCATTGTGTAGGCAACACCTAACCCAATTTATAAGAGCCCTGATAAATATAGAGTGGGTTTAGATTAGTATTTGACTTTACAGCCCTGTGTGTGTTGATGCAGGACCTGCTGAAACACACTCCTAAAGAGCACCCAGACTTCGCCCTGCTGCAGGATGCCCTGCGCATTTCTCAGAACTTCCTCTCCAGCATTAACGAGGAGATCGACCCACGCAGAACCGCTGTCACCACGCCCAAAGGAGAGGTGTGTATATCATACATGTAAATATTTGTGACTATATTTATGACAGTACAAACTTAGTAGTAAACACATTCATCCCCCTTGTTATGATGTCAGTTTAAACTTTTCAGTTGTTTAAACCACTTTTGGGCAAAAAGAGTCTCAAAATGTACTTTCAACAATAGTTTTTTTTTTTTTTTAAAGAAAACTGTTAAATCATTATTTAGACAAACCTACTTTTAATACCAAGGACATTATATGAAACTGATATTTTCAAAAAATAAATGTATTGTTCGACACAAATAGAATGAGTAAATATCCATATTATGATAACACAATTTTTGCAGGTATGTAACATGGAGAATTAAAATTATAAACGGTGTCACCGGACTTTATACCAGCCGTGTATGTAAACAGATCACAGCAGGTGTATCTTTATTTTTTTTCTGTAAAACATGCCTTAGGGGGTACTCTATAAATGTGGCTCTCCAAGTGTTATAGTGACCTTTAATTTTCTCTTTGTTCTCTCTCTCTCCCTCCCTCACTGTTTCTGTTTATCTCTCTCACCCCTAATCTGCTTCTGCCCTGCCAAAACACTTTGCCTCCCCTCTCAATGTGATGTGACCCATTAGCTTTCTGTGCGTGTCCCAGTGTCTCTATTAAACAGTTTTGAGCTATGTTACGTCTTTTCACCACTGAATCTCTTCTCTCTTGAAAGAACAGTCGTGCTTATGACGTCTTTCCAGACCTCTAGTGCTGATTCACTCCTCATCCCTCGTTCTTCTCTCCTCCACAGTAGAACGCGCTTATTCACTCATTCCCCACAGCTCAGAGGAAGTCTCTATTCACGCTTTCTTGACGTCCAGCTTTCAGCAGGGATATTCTAAGCCTTGCTGTCTTTTTCTAAAGAAAAGTTCAAAGAAGGAAGCTATTTCAGTCTTTTCATTGTAATTTCTTCTGACACTGTAACATCTTTAAGTAATGAGTGAGTGCACTGAAGTGTTTGACGCAGAAGTAGACCGTGAGCCCATCTGCTATTCTTTTACAATAGATATATGCAGAATGGTGTGCATGTGTTCAGGTTTATATGGACTCACAGGTGTGTTTGTGTGTGTGCATTGCAGGCTCGTCAGCTGGTGAAGGATGGTTTCTTGGTGGAAGTCTCTGAAGGTTCTCGGAAACTCCGCCATGTTTTCCTCTTCACTGATTTGCTGCTCTGTGCCAAAATGAAGAAGACTGCAGTGGGGTAAGATGCTTACTAGGGGTGCAAATTTTGGTCGATTGTTTTGACTGATCATTTACCACCATCAATCTGCAATGAGTCTTTAACCAGCAAGCCTAAAATCATAGACGTGACCCATCAACATATCAGTTATACAACATAAACGTGGCTGAGCCATGTTCAGAGCCATTGTAAAATACTTCATATATGCACTCTTATGAATGCACACACCAACTGAATCCTGATTTAAAGCACAGAGATTTTAAAAAGTGTTCCTTGTATGTAAATGGCCCAAAACTGTATTAAACACACCCTATATAAGAGTTTTGCCTAAACTGAAGGCCTGATAGCTATAACATGTTCATGAATATATGACCAAAAACTAAAAAGTTGACTATGTTGTCACTGTCCAAGGAAAAGTAAGTGTCTCCCAAATGATAAGTTTACAGGAGAGGGCAAAAACTTTCTTTACTTTCAATGTAAGTTAATGTAAGGAGATTTTATTCCAAGCTATTTTGGAACATTTCTATTAGTCCAATCATTGTGAAATTTTCACACAATGTAAAGGACGCCTGCTGTGCTCCAGTTGTGGAGAAAAATAAAAATCACAATAAAAATGGAGAGACTTGGGGTTTTTTTGGACAGCAGTGATATGCAGGGTGTCTTTCCAAAACACATTATAGACATTATTTGTTTCTGTGATTTATTTTTTTTGGGAGTGGGCTTTACACATACGATATCAGTGCCAAGTATTAATTTCATAAACTTGTTATGAACAAAGTTGTTCCAAATGGATAGACACAGCATTTTGGAATGGAACTCTTCATATAATGATGGGCTGCTGAAAATTCTAAAGATATATTTTTTAACTCTCATTGCTGGACCACGTTCAAATGAGCATAACTGATCAAGGCTAGCTTTGGACACTGTACCTCAGAAGCTCTGGAAAGCTGCCACTGTCCACTACGTCCTTCTTACCACATGCACCTTCATGCATACAATTAAAAAAAAAATGTTCCTCAGCTGCCTGTTGAAGGAACTCTTGTTGAGTGAAAAATCAAATGAAATGAATATCTTTTTTTAACTGAAAGCATTGGTCCAACAATAGTTATTGGTCAGTTAACAGTTAATAATTTCCTTAATACAGGTACACATGCACACACAATTTGTGTATATATGCAAAGAGAGAAATGATCAACACCCTCACTGTCTCTTTATTTCCTGTGTGTTGTCTTGGCATCCTGTTTTTACAAATGAATGCGTTCATTTACTGGAATGCATCCAAATTAATTGTCACCCAGCTGTCGTCTTGGTTGGTGTATCCCAGGAGGCACGGGCGGTGATTGATGCTGTCACCATGGCCACAATATTCCCACAAGGATAACGTGCATATGTGTGTCTCTGTACCTGTTACAAAAATAGTTCAATAAAAAAAAATCCATTTTACATAATTTCCACCCAAATGCAGTCAGTCAGCCAAGCAATGTTTGGTGTCTGAAGATTGACTGAAGAAGCTTTTTAAGTTTTATGCTGGAGCTGAAATGAAGAAATTGCCTCAAAATGTGCTGAGATCTTGAGTAATCTCAACTAGATTTGCTTATGTGTGTTTTTATCCTGTGTGAAAGGGGTCTCTAAATTCAATCCTGGGAGGGCCAGTGTCCTGCACAGTTTAGTGGTTTTCTTGCTCAAGCTCACCTGATTCAACTCCTCTGTTACTTGCCAGGTTCAGTGGGTGTGCTTGAGCAAGGAAATCACTGCACTGTGCTGAAGCTCGCTGTATGGCCTGCTGTACAATACAAATGGACCACATTATGTTGCATTACTTTTTAGCCACATTAGCCTCAAAAAGACTGTAAAACTATGAAAAAACTGCAGACACACGTCTTGGCTGATTTACTACATTTAGAGTAAAGGGAAAAGTTTTTCACCGAACTATGGCTTTAGCTCTCTTCTTCGATACACAGGCTGACTGAGCATACCTTTTCACTTTTTTTGTACTCCCTGCCACGATTAGAGCCAAAGCATCCGTGATTAATTGAGATTAAATCCAATTCATTGGCTGTAAAGCCAATTCATCTTAACCTTGATCTTAATTTCACTCTGTAGCTATCACAGCAGCCATCTGTGCCCTAATGTTCCATTCCCCATTAGAGCAGCTGTTCATCATTAATGGCCATTCTGTGATGGGCTTTGTTCGACCTGCTGACAGAGCCATTAATATTCAGTGTGTTAATTAGAATGAATGAGGGCCATGGTGACTGTAATTGGCTGCTGTGTGTAAGCGAAGGTGTTTAATATGCTGATTATACGCCACTGCAGCACCAAGCTGGGCTGTTGTAATCAGGCCTGAATAGAGATGTATTGGAGGTTTTTGAACATAGCTGTGTTTGGAGCTGTTGCTGTGTGGATATACCCTGTAGAACTGAAAACAATGACTGTTTAATCGCCACAAAGGTATCTCATGAACAGAATGACAAAGAGGTGTGTTTAAGGTATGTTGCAGTCTGATCTGAAAGGTCAGATTCACACATTCTACCTCTGTGTGGTGTGGTGAGCGACGTGGAATGTCTCGGTTTCCCTAGATGTGTTAGTGAGAAAGAGACTGGGAAGTGTCCGACTGGGAAGCTATGCATTACGCTGTAACTCATTCCTCACTCTTTGTCTCTTGCTTTTGTTTTTTTTTGTTTTTTTCCCCCGTCTCCTCAGGAGGAATCAGCAGTATGAATGTAAGTGGTATATCCCGCTGGCTGACCTGACATTCCAGACACTGGACGACTCCGACTCCTGCCCGCACGTACAGACCCTTCCTGAGCATGAAATTGAGGAGATGAAGATCAAGATCTCGCTCATTAAGAGCGACATCCAGAAAGAGAAGGTACAGACCGCTTTTCTCTATTCCTCCCCCTCAGCGTAGTGCTGGTGTAGTCTTGTGTTGAGTTGCGTGATATTCTTTTTTCAAAGTTGCTGAAAAAACAAGTAGACTTTAGGCCTTTATCATCTTCTTTAAAAATCTGCATGTAATCATTTGACCATGGTGGTGGTTTAATAGTTTCCTTCAGTGGCCGCAGATGGTCAAATGGGTTGAGTTTAAATGTCTTTTGAAGAATTATTTCACTGTATGAAGTGAACTCATAAAAATGCTCTAATAATGTTTGGCTAGATTTGAGCCTGTTTGCACCTAGGCTTTATGTGTCCCATATCTGGAAGCTGTCCGTATATATATTAAAAAGACATTGCGTTGCTGTGTCAATGGTCGTATTGCTGGCCAGCATTTTGCGGTATAACATACAAACACAACTTTGTCTAGTTGTGTAGGTATTTGAATGTGGGCTTATGAGCATGAAAGCTGAAAAGCAGTTATACTACCTGAGAAGGACGGGACACAGATCTCCCACTACTCCTGACACACACACATAGCTTGCTGTCTTTTCTTTCCCAGTAGCTTCAAATTAAACACAGCATAGCCTGCATAGACTTTGCCTACTCAGCTCCAGCATCACAACAACCTGATTTAAAAATGAAAATATTGCATGGGGAAATGAGATTCAACCAATATCTGGATACAGGAGCAATATTTGAAAAGGGGAAGTGTAAATGTGCTCTGTCCTAGGGCGTTTCAACACTAGAGCTTTTTTCCGGACCCAGGTTCACTTGCTCTGGTCTGGGGTTTGCTTCCAGTGAGCTCTGGTTCAGTCCACAGCGTGTGTGAAACCTGTCCGCGCCCGGCGCCGTGTGTGGGGCTGCATGATTGGTTCATTTTCTAACGTCACTGCTTCGACTAATTGTAATATTTCCATTTTCAAGTTTCGTGATTCCGGGAAAGGATTGCTGTTCATAAAAAGCACTGTTCTTTGCCGCTTTAGTGTTTGTATCCAAGGAAAATAATAAAAAGCAGCAAACAGATGGTAGTGCCTACCATTTTGCAACCTATGCAGCAGAAAAGTGACGTATGGAATTATGCAATGGATTCATGGTTCAGATAGAATTCTTGTGTGAAAGCAAACCAGCGACAATGAGCCCAGAATCAGTTTTCAATGCGGACTCAAATGTTCGCAACAAGTGTGAAAACAACCTAAATTACATATGATCCCATCACCACGATCAGATAATATTGATCAGATTTTAAAGGCAAGGGTAAACAGGACCTGTTAGCCTGACCCGCAGACGGCTTCTTTCGCCCCATTAGCATGTACATTTTGACTGTGGCTGTTGACATGGCGATGATAGTAAGTATTTTTGAAGATAAATGGCTGTGTAAGGCTGGGATATGGGAAATCTAGTCTAATACAGGTTCCCCATAAACTCTGGGTCATAATTCCATTGTGCTCAGATTTGTTTTTCTTTTTTTTTTTAACTTTGGGAGAGACTGTTTAGCTGTTTAACTGTCAAATAAAAAAGTAAAAATATATTTCTTATTCCAGTGTAATTAGTTTGATTGGTGGCGGAATATATCAATTGAAATTTTAAATAAATTGCTGTTGTTGCAAATGATTTCTAGGTTATGTACTGTACAGTTATTACTGAATTGCTACAGTTTGGAGTCCTTAAGTATAAGGTTTACTGTCTCTAGAGGTCATCACCCAAGACCATTCTTAGATATTGTCTGTTAATTTACTACCTAAAATTCAAGGTTTACACAGAAGGTTTTAGGATTAAAAAGAGGTTATTTAGAAGATGTGTGTGGGGGGGATCAAGGTTCACGAGGGTCAGTGTTTCTTATTTCTGGAAAGTGACAAACTTACTAGAAAGTGACAGGGATAATTGCAGCCACAATTAGTTTGGGCCAGACTGGCACAGGCCTTAAATGTCTGTTTGTCTTTGTGCACCCAAGGTTACTTCAGGATAGCCTTGCACCAATGCCACACACACACACACACACACACACACACACACACACAGGCAAACACACAGAGGAAAGGCTCGGTTTTGGTCGTTTTGGTGTGCCTCCAGAGCACTGGGCTGTTTATTTTAGCTGACACTGACTCACTGAGAAAGGGGCGTGTTGTTGAAAGGTAGTTCCTCCTGCAGTTAGAACAAGGCTGCTTTTATTATTGTTTTGAATAGACCTGTATGAATTCCCATTGATGAAGCGATGCTACTGGGAATGAGATCACTCACTTGTAACTGTTGTTTCCAGTAAGACTTGTGTAAACAGACACAGTGTACAGCTGATTGTGCTTTTATCCACACACGCACATTCCCATTTACACAATACCTCACTCCTTTGTTGTCTTTATGTAAATCAGATTCACATGCAGTTCATTTCAGCCTTCAGTTGATAGAAAAGACAGCTTTTTTTTTGGAGTGCGGGAAGGGACAGACCGAGTAAAGAAATAAAAGAAGGCGAGAGAAAAAACAGCAGGAAAGAGATGGAGCCAATCAGGAGGTGCCGGAAATTTCTGTGATTGAAATGTGATTACTCCTCCATTTTTAGACTGCTTCCCAGCAGGGGTTGCTGTGTGTATGTATGTGTGTCTGTGTTTGCCTGCTTGCATAAAACTGTGCTGTTTAAAGGAATACTCCAGCATTCGTCTGGACGATCCCAAAAATGGTTAGCACAATACTTTCTTTTATAAAGAATCGGGATTATCGATTATATGCTCTGTGTGATCTTTAGCTTACATGCTTTTTTAACTGATTTAATCAAATTAATTTAAGTAAATCACATAATTGATAACGTACAATTATCAATTATTATACAATTATGTAATTATTGTAAAAGTTGTTACTGCAAACGTGCATCTGTGGCTGTTACTTCTCTTTAAATGACAAGCACAAAAGTGACTTGCATGCTAATAGCGCTAGATTGCTACACATGAGCAGTCCCAAAGCCACATAAAAAACAACAAGGCGCTTCCCGTTGTTAATGCGAAGAAATTCAATTATAGATGGCCGTTAAGTAATATATTTGTATATTGTTTTACAACTCATCTGAATGGGACACTTAACCTATGTGAAAAATGCTGAGAATTTTCTTCAGACAGTATGTTGAAAATTTACTCTGCTGCCAAGATTTATTAAGGACCCATAATAACATATTGGTTTAACATCGAAATGGAATAAAAACATTAAATATGTAAAATATTTTGTGTGCTGTTTAAAATGAAAATCTGTCAGTTCTTTTTCGCAACACAGTGATTATCGCCTTTTAAGTATTGTCATTGGGTTACTAGTCAGTCATTGCCGATATCCGTTTACACCACCCTATTGTCCAGGTCTTCTCCAGCTTTTTTCAGCCTAATATTTATATGCCACATATGATCATTTACCACAGACAGTAGTTTCCCAAGACTTAGAAGAAAAACAGAAAAGCTATTGACTTGAACACTCTTATAATATAAGACAATGGGCAGGTGCTTGTTTTATAGATATAAATCACATTTATAGTGAATTACAGAAATTTTAAACATTAGAAACAGTGCACACCTTAAACAGTGCACCATCAATTCCAATTTTTGTGTGTGGTTTAACAGAAAGCGCAGAAGGGTCAGAGCCGCAATGTGGACCGCTTGAGGAAGAAGATGAATGAACAGGAGTCATGTTTATTGCTGCATTCGCCAACCATTCCCTTCCGCATCCACAGCAAACATGGCAAGGTAACACACAACTCTACAGAAACAGCTGCATTACAGTACACTGAGATTTTTAGAGAGTTTATTAGGTATACCTACCTTGTACCTGCACTCACTGGCTATTTTATTCGCTACTCCTGTCATTTAGGCACACTTTGCTTTGTAATTACAGTAGTTACCGAAAATTACTTTGAAACCTCAAACACTCACTATCATGCCGCTACCATGTCAGCGTCGCTGCTGTGCTGAGAACGGTCCCATGGTGGACCTTTCCGTTGATGGGCAAGGTAGAGTTGGCCTTTTAGGCAGTACATGGCAATACAGGTTCCACTACATCATGCTATTAAGCTGCACTCCTATCTGTTGCGGTACATGCCAGTTTTCACACCACACACTACCAATTACAAATTGAATCCAGAGCAAATGCTCTGTTTGGCATTTTGTTAGCATGTGCTGTTCATTTTTCACTAGAGGGAGACATTGCTCATATTTTGTTCATCACTGATTCTCTCTCTCTCTCTCTCTCTCTCTGTCTCTCTCTTCTCTCTCTCTCCTCTCTCTCTCTCTGTGCAGAGTTACTTGTTCCTACTGTCCTCAGATTATGAGAGGTCAGAATGGAGAGAGAGCATTCAGAAGCTCCAGAAGAAAGGTCAGAACGCAAGCGCCCACACACACACACACACACACACGCAGAAAGTAACTATACTACCAAAACAAAGCTTCAAAGCCCCTACACAGGAGCTACTGAAACTGTGACCCAGCTGCCCTAGTCCTGTTACTTATAGAAATCATTGTGTATCTTACATCACTGTAGGCCATGTTAGTATATGTGATACAACCATCTCCTTAAAGCTTAAATGTAAGGCAATTTAATGCCCTAAGCACTAGGCTTATTAATCCCTTATTCATCTTAAGACTAGCTTTATACAGTGGAACCTTTTTTTTCTTGCAACATCATTCTGAAACAACTTGACAATTTGTTATTACAACATTTTTTACTTGTATAATAATTGTCATTTTTTGATCCTGAATGATTTATACAATCCTAGGTAACACTTTATATAAATTAGGGGGCACAAGAAGAGGAGAAAATAAATAATGCTGGTACAAGCAGCCATTTAACCCCTTAAAAGGCCAGGCTCACTGACAGGTCTAAAATTGTATTACACGGTTCTATAACCTAAGAATAGCTCCTCCAGTTTGCACTGAAGTCCCTGTAGTTACTGAATAATAATAAGTCTTAGTACGTAATAAGCCTGTGATTTTAAGTGGTTAAACAGCTGTTAGCAGCTGTGGCTAGATAAACTAGCCGGTTACAGAAATAATAGCTTCAAGAAACTCATGTTTGTTGAAAGGATGTTGTTCAGCATGATCTTGAGATGAATTAGCAACTTTTTGATTGGTTGTTAATGTAAAGTTTAGTTTGCTGCAGCTGTTGCAGCTAAGTTTCAAGAGACTTGCATGGGGCTTCACATCATACAAATCAAATGAAATACTAACGTTGCATGTACATTATTGTTTAAGGCATGTCTGAGGCATACTGTCCAATGACTTCTTTGAATTATTTAGTAACTACTGAGCTAATTTCAAGACCTGAGGTTGCAAGGAAAGCAAACCGTGCTTCTAGCTTAATCCACTATGGTTTGTCTGTGGAAGCATGTGTGTAAAAGTTGTGATCTAGAGTGCTGTGTTATATGTGTAGAATGAACAGTCTCTGCTGGTTGATGGTAATGTTGAGTTTTTATTGCAGAGCTTTTCTCATTGCAGATCTTCAGTCGTGTGTGCTGAGTACACTAGAGCTTCAGGTCCTCACCAGCTCCTGCTTCAAACTGCGTACAGTCCACAATATCCCTGTCACTAGTAACAAAGACGGTGAGTCACACATACCAATCTTTTGTCCATCTACAGGAATTGAAAATAACATCATGTTTTACCATTATCAGAGCTTCAGAATCCAAACCACATCTCTGCTCTCACTCCTGTTTCAAATTAAAAAGGTTTAACTTCTCTGTAGAAATGGGCTTTGAAAAGTGCAGCTGTCCCTGCCTTCCTCTCTCTCTCTCTCTCTTTCTCTCTCTCCCTCTCTCCTCAGGAGCCAGAAATACTTTTTGAAGAATCTAGGTTACAATCTGGTTCCAATCCGGTGATAACCTATGCCATGTTTTCTCTCTTTTCCTCTCTCGGTGCCCGGTGACCGAGGTGGGGGCTAACATTCAGACCCTTTTTCGTTTGTTTTTGTGGTGGGCCTGTTTGGATTTGGGTGACATTAAAGCCATCTGTCGGACCCTTGGAGAGATTTACTGAGCCAAGTTTAGCAGGGCAGAATGGGTGAGGAGACCTGCAGGACAATGCTGCCCCAGCCTTTAGCTTGTAGTGTAGGGCTGCAGCTAACTGTTATTCCTGTAATCGATTCATCTGTGGCCTTTTATTAGATTAATCAACTAATCAGACCATTATGCCTCCTGCTGGTTCCTCTCTCTGTTTCTTTTATATCAGTGCTGGCATCATTCAGCAACAAGCTATTTCTTTTTTCATGGTGCAGTGAAGCAATAATGTAGTGTGTTGCAGTCTGTCAGCATGACTTACACATTTTGTTGAATAATCATCACAGGCCTACTGGAGTGGTAGAGTAGACTGTTTCTCTGGTCTCTTAGCAGTATTGTTATATAGCAGGATGTAGTGTATAAGTTGTTGAAGTCAAATAGCATTTGAGAAACTGACCCACCTTCTTTCAGTAGAGTGAAAATCTCTAATGCAAGAGCAGTACGAGCCTGATCAGATCTAGGTACTGGCGTACAAACGCTGAAATCCATTAATCACGGAGATCGTTCTCCAGCCGAACCTGTTCACCTTCACAGGCTATGTTGTTGTGCAGACTGTAAAAGAATCAGCAGCACGTTCCAATTTGCTTCATCCCAAACTGAGAGGCTAAATGAGCCATTTTCCTTTGTTTATGGACAGCTGGAGGTAAACAAGCTGATTACTGTGGTTTTTTGGCGTACCATGTGAACGAACGTCTACATGTAATTGGGTTGTATAATATTTATTGGACTGTTGAGAAGGCCTAGACTTCATATAGACTTTTATGGGCATGTAACATTATAGACATGAAGAATTGTGTTTATGTAATGCCCCCTGGTGGTGATTGCAGATACTGTGGACTAGAATATTATGCCTCAAATTAGGGTTTAAAATCAAGTCACATTGGACCCTGCCAGGCCACCACTGTAACGAAGAACTAGTTATTTTTTTAACTTGTATTTTACTGTTTTTTTAATCAGTAAAATACAATTAAAGCCCAGCTGTCAGCATCCAAAATAGTAAGTAAAGTCTGAAAACATCCACCCCCTCCTTTTCGCAGCTTTATGAGTGTCATGTGTGTTGGCTAATAAGGGTCATATAATGATGTCAAACAGTACTGTGCATGACATAACACAATATAACACAGTACTGTTTGTTAGGCCACCTTCATTTATTTAATTTCCAGTCAAAACAGTCATTAAGTACAAATTATTCATTTTACAACATTGAGAAAAGTATGTTTAACAGAAAATTACACAGAAATCTCAAGAACTACATATAATGTGCATTTTTTAGAATATCTAAACTTTGCTTTTACTATAGCTTACATTATTGTTGGCTGACCTGCTGTCAGTTTTTCAAGGAAATCTCCACACCTGGAAATTTACGTCTTAGAAATTGTAGTTTCTGCTTTTCACAATCCAGATCATTCCAAACACATTCAGTGATGTTGAGGTCTGGACTCTGGGGTGGACAGTATGTTGTTCTAAGAACACCAGCAGTTTTTTGTTTGATTTGCAAGTTTTCTTTTTTGCCGCTTTCTTCACAGCTACATGTCATTTCAGATCTATATCATTGAGTTGTCTTCTAACAGTGGAAGGATGGACAGACTTGTGGATTTTGTCAGATCTGCAGATCTGCAGATCTCTCTCTCAATGATGAGAGCTTTAAGCAGTGTTTATCTGATGGTAATAGTTTTGGTGGTCTACCAGGTCTTGCATGGTTGTTAGATGTCCCATTTTCTCTGTATCTTCATTGAAATGTTTGAACTCCTGTTTTTTCTCACTTTTTACACTTTCCCTTTCCTTTTTTACCCTCCTCCTAGCGTTACTTTGAGTTTCAGATTTTGAGGATATTTTTGGTATCGGTATTTGCTGTATGACATATATATGATGTATTTGGTGGTTATCTCTTCCTCCAGTCTTTAAAGCCTTTTTCTGCTGTCATGAACAGGAGAAATAAGGAACATGGTAAAATAAAGACCAGCTGTTGGAGGAATGCAGCAGCCACCCTCCCTGCACCATTCCCCCCATCTCAAAAAAAACAAAAAAAAACAAAAAAACTTTAGTCAGACTGATGGAACAGGGTCGTAGTGGGAGTCCTTCATTACAGGGGCTGTGTGTGACAGTGAGGCTTTTCAGATGGAGAGAGAGAGAGGGAGAGAGGGGCTGTGGTACATACTGGTACCAGGCTGAAACAGTCTTGTCATAATGATGTCTTTAAGTGAAAGCGCTTTGGGCAGGACAGTCTTCATCTGTTCTGTTTAAAGGTCTAGGTCTGTGATGGTTTGGAGAAGCACTGTAGTCTTATAAGCCTTAGTTTGCACAGATGCAATTAAAGGTCTTTAGCATCTGGGTTGCATTTTGTGTTGGGCTTTGATATGATATTAATATTATTAAGCTCCATTGTCTGAAGAAAGAGAATCTGATGGCCATGAATAAGGTTCATACTGTTTCCTGTTGTGGTGAGTAAATGTAATCATATAATTCCATCTAAAAAATATCATGTCTTCTACTAAGGGTACTGCCAAGGATTAAATAGAGACACAGATTTATTTTGCTAGGTAGGCTCTGTATCTACTGGACGTAGAGAGCAGATTCCTCATGTGTTTACTCCATCACATATCGCACTGATGGGTCGGCATGAGTTTATAGGGATTCAGCCTTTCCACTTCCGGTTAAATAAACTCAGCCAGAGGGAGGACGTAACCTGAGCGTGCCACCCACCGCACTCCAACTGATACAATAAGATTGTGTGTGTGCGTGCATATGTACATATGTATGTGCGTTTTTGAAGGTCAAGGCCACCCTGAAACCATGCTGCAGCAGAGAGCCTGTGGATTTGAGATGTGTTTTTTGTTTTTTTTCCCTCTCTGGGATGTCTCTCTCTCTCTCTCCCTCTCTCTCTCTCTCCCTCTCTTTCTCTAACTTCATGAAATGATACATCATATTAATAACACACTTTACTCACTCACAAATTTGATTTGAAGATCAAAGAGCACATTCATTAATATTTTACACCATCACACTTGTTCCTTTTTGGTTTTGCATTTGCATAACGTCTATGAAAAGCTTATTTTATTTTTGGTGCTAACATGACTCAGAGACAGAGAAATGGAGGGTTTTTTAAGCACATTTATTTATTTTAATAATAATAATATAATGGTAATATTATGTAATAATGTTTTTTTTTAATTAAATAAATAAATACATACATTAAAACTCTTGGAAATGCCTGCCATGTCACATTATAAATAATAAATATATAATAAACCTAAGGCCAAATAGGTTTAAAATATGTGTTAAACTGTTATTTACTGATACTTTGGGTAGTTTTTCAACACTATCAAAGAGTCAAACAACTGTTAAAAAAGCTCATCCGTCCAGCCAAAAATCAATATTTTCAAACAGAAAGTAAAAAAAAATACTTATTTCCTCTCTGATGTTTTTCTGACGTATTGTGCCAAAATAATGGTGTATGATCTCAGAATAATTACTTAATATGTTGAAAAATCATATAATGACATGAATCATATTACGCATTTATTTGAACTTTACTAAGTACATTTGAACATTTAATTTTTAGTACATATTGTAATGGTCATTATTGTAACTTCTTACGTCAAAATCTTGAGAAAATAAGCTGTAATATTGACCCAATTAGTCACAGTTTGAATCTGAAACGGAATAATATGTTTTTTTCCTCTTACCCAGTGAAAACAGGCTTTCATGCAAAATGCATGTGAGCTAAACAAGTGGCACAGATCATATGTTGGTTATGAAATTGCTCCTTTGTTCATTTGTTTGGAAGTTCTTAGTAGATAACCCACTAAATGTACCACTTTCACCAGCGTGTAGTGCCTCTTAACTTTTGGTAATTAGTGCCTCTCTCAGTAAATCTGCCCTTAAACCTTGCTTCATCTGTTACTTTTATATGATCTGCTTCACATATGACATTACTGATAATGTGTTGCAAAAAGTGCTAAAGTGTCATTTTTGTACAAGTACCTACACCACCTCTACCTCCCTGAGACAAATGTCATATACAGGAGTGTCCCAGGCAACACTCTGTGTGTGACATTTATCTCAGGGTGGTGGAGGTAGTGTGGGTACTTGTACAGCTGTTAAGCACAGGATGTGGGGATGTGCCTCTTGCCCTTGAAGTCTTTATTCTGTGACGGACTATGAGAGAGATATTATATTGGTAAACCACTCGTTCTGTTGTCAGCTTTAACCCCACTGCAAACTGTGCAATAATGTTGGTGTTGCAGGTTTATTTGCATACCATACTATACAAGACAGACTGTACAAGCAGACTGTACAATATTTATGTTAACGGCTATTTCTGCCTTTTCATCTGCTCTTCTGCGCCGAAAATGTGAAGTCTCAGTGCCATCACTGCATTTATTTTGATATGTAAAGAACATGATTGAACAAAAGCCAGAAATTCATAGATTTTTATTTTAAACAAGCAAACACATGCATAGGAATATACTTCACACTTCAGTAGCATAAAGTGACGGCATTCTGCTTCTCCGTCAGCATCACATGCTTCATAGCAGAGACACATTCTAAATTTCTGGTCTTTTATAGACCTTGTCACTTTATTGTAGAACAAAAGGCACTAAAGTAGGTGCCCGTGAGCAACCTCTCATCGTTTTCTAATACCACCAGTTTTATTCTTTCTCAATTCACCTTTATACCTGCTTTCATTCACTTCTAATAACATGCAGAGTAGTTAACTGTTCTGCTTGCCCACTAGCAAAATACCTCATGCATTCCTGACAAGAGGATGCAGTTTATCTAAGAGAAGGTGGGTAGTACGGTCCATTAGGAACTGCACATATTTAAACACAAGCACTGATAGAGGTTTTCTGATATTTAAAGTGTCTTTTCTCCTGAGATCATGTGCATGTTGGACCACACACAAAGAGGAAGAGAACACTGCACACACAAATGCTTTCTCACATTCTCACAGATATGTAATACAAACACCACCAGCTGTGTTGAAAGCTGACTGAGGGAGGTGAGGAGGAGTTTCCTCATCACTTTTTATTTAAAGCGGCGGACAACAAAAATCTTAAAAAAATTGGTCAAAACTATGGACAAAATTCAGGATTCAAGATAACACTTTTTTATTTATACAACATAGTTATGTTCATTTTTTAGATAACAGTATGTCTTAAAGTGTTAGAAACTAACTAAGCAACTAAATGTGAGATTACTGGCAGGGCCCATGATCATTCTCCAGCCTTAAAGTCATTGTGCCTTTATAACTAGTATATGTAAATGAATGCTGTTGTGATATACTGCAATATGCTGTGCCTCATTGAAAAAGACTGAAACACTATAACGTCAGAGTGAGTGGGTGGGGCAAAACTTTGCACTGATTTTCATGACATCGCAAATAAAATTAAATTTCAAGCTCAAAATGGACTTTTTTGCAGCTTAGTTTCTGTATAAGGACTGTGTTGACTGAGGAGTAAATGGTATGTTCAAAGCAACCTTATGTAGTGTTTGGTCTGTCAAGTAGATCTTTTGATTATTAAGGCTTGAATTATGCTAAAGGAAGTTGAATATCTGCAAACATATATGAGTACCAGCTGTCACTGCTTTCCTCGGTAAAATGGCAAAGATGTAACTCCACGCTTGAGTTTCATTTCCTTTGTTACTCCTTTTCCAGGGAACAACACCATATTTCAATAAAACCATCCCAAACTCTATTTCAGTTTGCAGAAAAAGCTTTTTTTGTTTAAGAACCAAGAATATCTGTGATTAAAGCCTTTGAATCTAGACGCTAGAAGACTAGACTTAGATGCTGCTCTTCCAGTGCAAGCTAGCTCATCTGTGCCACGAACCATTATATCGATGATCTGATTCGTGCCAAACTTGGGAGGTGAATTTATAATGCATATTTACATTTAAAAATACATTTTATTGTGGCCTAAAAATGAGCACATACCACATAAAAACCTAATATTTGGAAGCGAAACCAGGTACATCCTAATCTCTGTATCTCATTCAAACTCGCCAGCATGTGAGTTTTAAATGGTAGGGGAAGACTATGAATTAAGCTCAGAGTTATAGTATGACTCTCTCTCTCACTGACATTCTTCTGTATATGTGTGTGTTTCAGATGAGGAGTCTCCAGGCCTGTATGGTTTCCTGCATGTCATCGTCCATTCTGCCACTGGCTTCAAAGAATCAGCCAGTAAGTATGCTGGGGTGGTGTGTGTGTGTGTGTGTGCGTGCCTGAGTGTGTGTTTTCACCTGTAGTACTACAGAGTTTCTTAGACTCAAACACTTTTTCTGGATTATTTTGTTATCCTGAGTGCAAGTACAGCTAATTCACAGCGTATGTTTGAGGTAAAGGGCGGATTGTATTTCTTGTTGTTCTTCAGCAGGACAAGCTTGCTTTATACACAAAAACCTGATCAGTCTTAGTTTGCTGACCACCAGCAGAGAAAAAAAAAGGGGGGTGTTGGCGGCGGGAAAGAGAGCTGAACCACAGGGGCAGTCCCAGTGGACCGTCCTTCACCACACACCACATTCTTGCAGTTCTTCTCATGTTTCAGTCTGCTTCTTTAGGCCCTACACTACCCAAATCTACCACAGCTAAACCACATCACTCAAGCTCAGGCGCATGTAAATGGAGCAAGTCTTGCTGCAGGGGCAAACAGAGCAGCACTGAGTAGAGCCCCCAAAGCTGTTCTGTATGATTACTGGAAATGTCACAGTATGTGTTTAAGTTGGTAAAGTTAGAACCGGCTGATGTTCTCCTCATACAAATAAGAGCAGTGTCACCTTCCAGTCTTGCACTGGGTGTACAGTTGTGTTGGTGGCCACTGATGATCAGAAATTATCAAGTCTGAAGGATAAAGAAGAGGCTACTGAAAGTCAGGTGTTCCAAACGTCTTAGGCTAGACTAGGTGCATTATTTAAAGTCATTTATCCTAGCCATACATGTGTTGGTGCTTGTAAAAATATCATACATTATTAGAAATATGCAAAAGTTTTTTTTCCTTTTTGTTTTTCCTAAAAAGGTAGTTGTGAACTAGGGTTTGGGCACCGCCTTGCTGCCACCTCTTGCAGCTGTCATTGATGCTTGAGGGACCACCTGGCACAATATTATGTACATTTATTCTGATATTAGTGTTTTTTCTGAGCAGAAAACATGTATTTTAAATATCATTTTTTCAGGTGATCGACTAATTCCAGTAATTTCAAGTCTTCACACATGTAGTCACAACTTGTGTTTGTGTGCCTGTGTCTGTGTCTGTATTTCACGTTACATAAATACTATATATGACTCTGAGCCAAAAAGGAAAAAACCAAAGACTGTGTTTCCAGTGGCTCCAGTTACCATAACAATGACTATAAACAACATAGATTAATTGGAGGCTGCTGTAATGTGTTGGAAAGCTTCTTAACTCAGCAAAGCATAATGAATAACAGGCAACTGCAGAAGAGGATGAAGTGGTCAAGTTACCACTGAGGCACTTTTTACATTTAGCTACTGCTTTTGATCTGGGGACTTACAGTGGCACCTGTAACCATGACGTCCTAGTTGTCATGGCACCCATGGTTACCATGGCACTAGCCTCAATTTTAAGGCATCTATGCCCTTTGGGAAAATAGGACACATCCAGTGCAGTAGAGTTTGCGAAAGAGGGGGTGTGTTTCAAATTATCACAGAGAAGTGATGAGGTATGTGGCACTCATAAGCAATCAGAATTACAAATCTCAGTTCCAAAATTGTTGGCACATTATGCAGAAATGTAAAAGTGGTAAATTCAGTTTGACCTGTATTAAATAGAAAACAGTACAAAAAAATGATGTCTTAATTTATGAACCTTATGAACAGGTTTGATGCCTGAAACGTGTTCCAAAAAAGTTGGCACAAGCTGGTGGCCCTTTTCTTCTTTGGCCCGGAGAACCCAACGTCCATTATTTCTACTGTGCGTAGGTCCCTTTCAGATGAACTGTAGCCCAGAGAAGTCGGCAGTGTTTCTGGATGTTGTTGGCACATGGTTTCCACTGTGCATAGTTCAGTCTTAACTTGCATTTGTAAATTCAGCGACAAACTGAGTTTACTGATAACGGTCAAAGTATTCCTGAGCCCTTTTGGTGAGATCTATCACAGAAGCGTACCGGTTTAGCGCACTGCCGTCTGAGGGATGGAAAGTCATGGTCATTTGGTTGTTTATGCACAGAGATTTCTCCAGGTTCCCTGAATCTGGTATTAGGCTGGTAGAAGACTTGTAGTTGCCAATCGATTAATGTTGTTGGATTATTCGCTGACACATATCTTGGCAAAATGGTAAACCTCCATCCATACTTGCTTGGCCTTTCCTGAATGTTCCTTTTATACCCAAGCATGATTGCATCACCTGTATAAGAACTGTATATTCCTAGTCTTGATGTAGATATGGTAAAACATTAAATATCTTGTCTTTATAATGTTTCTGTTTAAATACAGGTCAGGGTGTGTTTAGAAATCATTGCTTTTTGTTTTTGTTTTTATTTCACACACTATCCTGACTTTTTTGGAATTGAGATTTGTACTGAAAGTTATTCTAGACCTAGATGCAATGCCACAAGTATTTTATATCTGTACAAAAACTGCTTCAAAACTTCAGAATAACTTATGTTAATATCTCTTTGTTAGTTCATTCAATAACTTACTTCATTGAAATAAAGTAAACTAGACGATAAAAGGTATCATATTAAATATTCGTCATATTAAATATTGAAATTGGGTAAAAAATTGGAAAAAATTACAATAATACAATTAATACAATTACAATACAGTTAAACAATAATATGCTGTAATTATCGATTTATAGTAATTTCTTGTCAAGTTATCTGCTTCAAGGTTTGATCACTACTCAAATACTACTCTAGGTATTAATATCATTATTACTTAATTTTTTTATGTTATACAGCTTTCTCAGCTGTTGTGGAATCCTCAAGAGCTCCATTTATCATTCTGGACACATCTCAGATTCCAGCTTTTAATTATTTGAAGTCTGTCAAGTTGAAGAGTACAAGCAAAATTTACTGTCCTTTTCTAAATATATCTGCAACAAAATTTGCTTTAAAGTCTATAAAACAGTGATTCTACACTTTTCAACAGTGATTCCAAAGTTTTGCATGATAGTGTACATTCCCCATGTGTATTCATAGGACACGCAGATCACCTTTGCATACGTTGTCTTCTTGTGTATTAACATAACATTAGTTGTAGCATATGGCTGCCATGCCCTGTAGATTAGTCTCTCTGATAACAGTCAGGCATGTGTTTTAAAGCCCTACAGTGCAGTGCAATCTCGATGCTTCCTCTCAAAGAGGCCTGCTTTGAGTAACCACTATACTGACTTTGCTCAAAAGAGGCATTGTATGTGCATGTATCCATGTGTGTCTGTGTGTGTGTGTGTGTGTGTGTATGTGTATGTGTATGTGTGTATAGGTCTCGCATCTGCTTGTTGTCTTTGTTCGTCGCACATCCCCCAGAACCCCCTGCTTGGAGTGTGGTTTACATTCATTATTGATTTGACTTGGGCTGCAAGGACGCTTCTCATCTGTCCCCCATTTGTTGCGTTATGAAAGAGAGTGTGTGCCTTTGTGGGTGTCATGTATATGAAGTGTGTGTCTGTATGCGAATGTGTCCTTTGTTGAACGATTATAGTATATAGTTTATACATAACTGCTTCCTCATTTATCACTATAGTACATACTTTGTCTGGCGACAGCCACTCAGTTGGTCAATGGTATTTTCTACAAAGCCCTGAGTCAGTATTTTTGTGCACTGCTGATTGGCTAGGGGCAGTGCACTGAATCTGAGAGGGAGTTGAGAATCCTCAGAGCACTGTGACAGGGACATCTTGCAGCACAGAGACCCCACAGACCAACCAACTTCACGAACATGTGAAGTATTATAAAAATGAGTCAGATCCTCCGTCAGTGCCTAAGAAACAGAGCAAGAAGAAAGAAGATCCTGACTTAAAATCCTACAAGTGTTCATGTTCTCTGTCAGCTGCCTTCTCCAACTCATTTTTAATGTTTCATGTGTTTTCACTCAGTTTTAGGATATGAATCATCATTATTTATGGTCGATCGTTGCTTTGACTCTGATTCTAGGAGTTTTATTCTGTGCTCTTTTTTGATTCCCTCGACATGGTCTCTGCTGTATTTATATATATTTATATTTCATAGCTTCCTCTTTCCACTCTATAATTTAATGCAGCCTTCCTTTCTTTCCATTCATTTTTATTAATGTTATTATTCCGTATCCAATCAAAGGAATTCGATTAGGCAGTTTCCTCTCCAAGAAAAGTGGTATGCTTCCAGCGATCGGCTTAAAATAGACCGCGCTCTTCATGGAGTTCTGCATTTTCAAAAACACCCCACATTCTCAGTCATGTAGGCACACACACACACACACACACACACACACACACACACACTATGTATTATTTTGCTCTTTGTTCTGTAGAGATGCACACATACACCATTTTTTTGATTACATTCCTACTTGTTTAACTCAAAGATATGGTGCGAGTGTTTTATCAGGAGTTTTTGCAAGGACAGTTCAGCTTTTTCCCACTCTCAACATTGACCAGGGCTGTGGTCATTTTCCCTGATGTCACAAACCAACACCACATCCCTCTCCAAACTGTCATCCAGTGGGACAACCAATTACAAACATTTGTATCCTAATTTAACCTCACATCTGCATGAGAAACCATTTTATTTCTGCTTATTTTCCTCTGGCTTTCCCCGCAGAATGGCTTGAATGGGTTTTTCTTAAGAGAGCCTTTGTGTATGACACCAGCAGCTCCAGCTTGGGTTTCTCTGGCATCTCGATCTCCTTCACCACGGCTTCCGGCACAGTTGCCAAAGCAGTGACACTGCACTATATTAGCTTTTTTCTTTGTTTTTTTTTAACGAGGATGTAAATAGCTCCATCTTCCACTGTCAGCACACATAAAACTGCTGTGCTGCCTTACAGAAGCTCAGACCCCCTGCTGTGCTACAGCTATACCACTTTCATAAGCATTTCATGCGTCTTAACTAAAGCTGTCCTCGACTAGAGATTTTCTTAATCAAACAAAAGGCCTTTTTTTCAACCCAGAAGTCGGGCTAATTTTGAAAATGCTAAGAAATAAATGTCACTGTATCTGAACACATTGGACCATAAAACTTTATCTACTTTATATCTTAAATGCAAACTTTCATTTTTGTCCCTCTGTTATTGAGAACGTTTAAATTTAAAGCGTGGCTGGCTACAATCTGTAATGACAGTCCATGCTTAAATTAGAAGTGACCACTAACATTATATTAGAAGTTGTATTGTGAGTAAAATGCCATTTAAGAGTTGGCTTTTCATCTTCTTGGAACCATCTTTACATTTTTGAAGTGCACTTTTTTGTAGCTTTCTATCTGGTGTTGGCTCAGTTTTTCTTTGAGTATTTTACACAACTGATGCACGTGAACAATAAAGTAAAACAGGACCACACTAATGCTGCGTTTACATGTTAACATTGAAAGAACTGTAGTTTTGTGCTTCATAGTGGTACAGCTGCTGAAATGTTGCTAGTGGTGGACGTTCCTCGTCTATGGCTCCAAAAAGAATCAACCTCAGGTTTATTAACTGAGAAAGTTGGGAAAATTGAACTCTTGACAGAATGTTCTGTGGACCGCTGCGATATGCTCCCGCTGGTGGCACTTCATTGAGAGCGGTGGCATATCTGCTTTGCTATTAGCCGCCTCCCACTGAAATGGGAGCGTAAATGCAGCATTCAACTTCAGAGACTCATTAACTATGTGTTTCAAACTTTGCATAAACATCTACAATTTTAACTGTATTTTAATTATAATTAGAAAATAGGTAAATAAATAAATGAATAAATATAACTAGTCTTAGCTGACTAAGAATGGTATAGGTGATTAGTTGACTTCCGCTCTACTTTTTACCAATCTCCATCCAAACTCTTTACAACAAAGGTTCCTCCTGATTGTTGGCTTGGTTCTATGGTTCTAGAAAACTTTAATTGTTGAACCTTTGACGTTTATATAAAGTTTTCTAAACTTTAAAAAGGTTCCTCTCATTCACAGAAATATTTCTTTGAAGAACCATCAATTGAAAAGTTTTTTAGGAAACCAAAAGTGGTTCTTCAGTAGCATCTCCCCAAAGAACCCTTTTTGACACCTTTATTTTTGAGAATGCAATCTTTTTTCCTCCTCCTGTTGGCCTAGTCTGCTCAGTGCCCTGGCTCTTGGGACGGAGGTGGATTTATATGTGTTTATCCTCTTCTGAAGAACTGGGTTTCTGTGCCTGGTGCTGCTAAAAATCCTCCAGTTCCTCCTCAGACCCGGAGGAGGTGTATATCTGGCGTTCCTTTCATCTTTTTGGGATTTGGAGCTGGGCAACTAGGGCTGGTGGAAATAGGACACGTGCACACTCACACATGCACTGTTAGAAGCGTCCTGCTGTGTGTGTTAGAAGGGTAGGTGTGTTGAATAGAGTAGGATGTGAGTTAAAGGTCTCTGTGCTCTGGATGTGAGGACTTTAAAGAGGATCAGGTAATAAATAGCTTCTCTCTATGGCTCGATCTTATGGTGTTGCTTTCTTTTCTAATTGAATATAATGAGCGGAGTAATCTCAGAGTCCAAATAACCTGGTAGTTGCTCTTTTCTTTTCTTTGCCACAGTTAGATTTTTGTTGCAAGCGACATAAAAGTGGGCAATACAGCACAAATATAACATCACATTATTTAGTCACGTAGTGCTGATGATGAGATCAGTCATGTAAACAATATTCATAATTGTGGCATGCAACTATTAAAGTACAAGCCTGATTTTCTTAGTCTTAATGATCTTCTGTCTATTCTTTCTGTTCATTTTCTGTCTTGCTTTTTGGCTGCCTATTCTTAGTAGCTCCCAACTAATGTCGAGCATAGCTCCAGAACATATGTTTGGGAAAGCGAACAACTGTGGAAAATCATTTTGGTCAGCTTAAACAACTGCAGTCAGCTCACAAAATTGCAGTCAAGTGATTACATAGTAATTAAGATGCCATGATGTATCAAAAAACATATGCAAATTAGATGCTATGATGTTAATTACAACGTTATTATGACATAGTGACATAATTGATCACAATAATGATAACAAATTGTCATTTTGCCTTAGGCCAGCAGTGCTTACATGTGCATGTAATGTGAGCTCATAGGCCATTAACAGCTTCGCTACAGCTCTGCCCCCTTCATTTACATATATATTACAGTCCATTTAGTGTATTGAGTGACTCATGAACACTAACACAATACTTAACGCATCTCATCCTGAGCTGTGGGACTGATCTGTTCTGCAGTAAACACTCACTCCTTTCCCTCTACCCCCCACACACACACTCCACACGTATTCCAGGTCAGAGGTCACATGGTGTAGCAATCTGTCATGCTGTCAGCAAGCCACGCCCACTGTTGGGTGCAGAGAATCAATCAAAAATGTGTGTGTGTGTGTGTGTGTGTGTGTGTGAGCCATTACAGTGACATGTTGGTGAGATAGACAGACACACAGTCAATTGGCAACCTGATGCTTTTCTATCTGCAATGTCTGCCTTGAGGGGGTCGACCTCTTTTGTCTGTATGTCTCCATATTTTCACTTTTAGCGCTGACACACATGCTTGTTAATTAGTGGTCTTTGCTTCAGAAACTAAACGTTAAGGCTTGGACTATTGACATACTCTGTAATTGCTCTGTCCAACCTTGACCAGTCTTTAGAAAATGTAGCTAACAAAGGATTGACCATCAGAAACAGGCTAAATTCAGCATTTCAGCAGTGGAGAATTTCCTCAGTTTTTTTAGGGTTGTCACAATATCTTGAATAAATTCAATTTTATAAAATCGTTGATCAAAATTTATCTTCTCAGTAAATCAGCAGTGATCAGTTTGCCTGATGACAGTGCATATTTTAAATTCTCATTCTGATCTTTTATGATATAAATCAACTTCAGTTGATTCTGTTTACATTCAGCACACCCTTAAGTGAGCAAAGAGAATAATTACTGATTCCTCTTATCCAGCAAACCATCTTTTCCAACCACTTACTTCTGGGAGATGTTGTAAAATCATCAAATGTTGTAAATCGTAATTGCATATTGTTTACTGTATGTATTATATTGTATATTTATGTGTACTATGCTACAACAGAGTTGAATTACAATAAATTGCGTTGCATCAGATACAATTACCGCCGACATGTTGTGTAATAAAATAATGAGTTGGCAATAAAGTGTCTGCAATAAAATAATCAGTCAGTCCAAATTGTATCTGTACAAGTGAAGAAAAATATTGTTAACTTATAATTAATGTAACAAGATTTTTTCCATGTAAATTTAGACAATTTCTATTCGTCCTTTTAAAATAAAATTTTTAAAACAATGCAAAGGATAACTGGAGTTTTCAAAATTATGCAAAAAAAAGTACAAAAAACAAAAAAAGAGCAAAATGGAGATGGAAGGTTTTGTGCAACAATGATATTTATTTGGTCTGATTACAGCTCATGTCTTCATTGTGCATCCTTTTTAGATCTGTACTGCACTCTGGAGGTGGACTCCTTTGGCTACTTTGTGAGCAAGGCCAAAACCCGAGTATTCAGAGACACCACCGAGCCACACTGGAACGAGGCAAGTCTCCTTTGACTGTAGACCATTCATACATCCTCTTTTTACTTCCTTTATCCAATCAGACTGAACTATTTTTAATTGGACATTGTCCACGCCAGTCAAATATCCTATTTCTTTTCTTTTCACACATTCCCCCACTAGGAGTTTGAAATTGAGCTGGAAGGATCTCAGTGCCTGAGAATTTTGTGCTACGAGAAATGCTACGACAAGTCCAAGCTCAACAAGGACGACAATGAGATTGTAGACAAGATCATGGGCAAGGGCCAAGTACAGGTAGGAAGAAAAACCCTCTTGCTGTTGACACATCACGCGGAGTCTACTGCACAAGTGCTCTCATAGGAAAAAAAAAAACAGCCACGTGAATAAGCGTAATACCTCGGGCTTCCCCCGTCTGAGTCAGTAGTATTGTTGTCTGCTAGAAATTTGCTTGTGGTGGCGGCTTTTATTGTCTGAGAAGCCGATGGCTTTGGTTTGGATTTTTCCCTCCTTCCACCATGTGGGAAAAGTCCCAATTAAACTTCAGTGTGTGACTAAATGTATGCTGTGTTTTCACTCTGAGAACGTGTTATTTGAGGTGTAGTTGTGTCACAGTGAATGTGTTAAAATTCAGCTTTTCCACTGAACAAAACAGTATTAGGATCTCAGAGAACAGTGAATGAGAAAAAGCTGTCAGGAATGGAATTGTAGTTGCTTGTCCCTTTTTTATCTCAGTTTTTATCATGACACTTTTCTTTCACAAAGAAATTGAGTTTTAACTGGTTGGATCACTTGCATTCTTTTATAGCTCTTTAGTTACTTACAGGTTGTTGATTTCTTCCTCTTTTGACTTGATTGAAGATATGATTTGTGTGTATGTGTGCATGTGCTAAGATAAGCTATGGATAGTAGTTAGGATGCGCTGCAGCAATCCACAACCAAAAAGGTAAATCAAAAACCAACTGCGTCTGGAATCAGCCGATTTGAACTAAGGCAAATGAAACTGTGAAGCATGAAACATAAACTGTTAAAGAACTGTTTCAGCTCTTGGTGTGCTTAGGTAGTGTAGAGCTCTCTTAAAAGCACAACAGTACTCTTAAGATCCAATTGTGAGCCTTAAATGAGTTTTGAAGGTAAACTGTCTTTGCTGTCCCAGGGGAAATATGCATATTCATAATGTACATTTTTAAACGCCATAAAAAGTCTAAAATCATGACAGGGTGTGTGGACACAAGGCAGCTTAAAAATATAACGGCAATGGTATATGATGGTTTAGTACCTTCTTTCTGAGAGGGCATCTGGCACGGACACAACGCCAACCTGCTTACTTAAAATAAATACTATCACTATAAAGTGTACCAGCTAACATCCTACCATTTTATCTCTTTGTGGTAAATAACATTCTTTTGGGAAACAAATCTTGAGGCTCCAGGTTTAAAACAGAAAATGATAATTTAGTGACAATGAGATAGCTTAAATAATTTTTTTTCCAACCGAAAAATTTTAGAGGTAGAAATTCTGCCCCAATTAAAAAGAATATTTAATTTGGGAAACAGTAACACCATTTGTGAGTACGTATTGTGGCCGCAAACACTTTTTGTGCAGTGCCTTCTCACACACGTATTACATCTTATCCCGAAAGTTTATTTAGTGTTCACAGATTTACCTGTTTAAAGGCTGTGTTTGCTGCCATTGTTAAAGGAATCCCACTCAACAACACACATATTTAAAAGATTTCATAAAGTAGAGAAAAATCCAAACAAAAACCATCAAGCAGAATCAGCCGCACTTCAGCCTAGTTACCGAAAAAGCTGCACCAGAGTCGGCTTTCTCAGTCACACCCTTAGCAATGCGTCATTCACACTGTGCTCACATTCTGGCGCTTGTGTTTCGTGGTAGTAAAGTATAATATACTTGCTTGCCAAACTGTCACATTTGACAGTCCTGTTAAGGCATCTGCTGTTGATTAATATCTGCATGCCCTGAATAGATAACCTCTTCGTTTTCTCTTCCCATAATAAGACATAATGAGTACCTGATTAGTGATTTCAGTGTTCAAATTCAGGATCCTCGAATGGTTAACAGAGTACTCTAATACCTGTGCACAGCCCTAGTAAGAACCCAGCAAGGCTGTAAATATACTTTCTTGATGTTGAGAAAATTCTAAAATTCTCTTAGGAGGCCTTTTTTATTGACTTGTTGTCTAGGCCAACTAGCATATCATGTGAGTGACTGATAGACTCTGCGCCAGCTCTAATGGTATTGTCATTATCAGTCAAACTGCACCGCTTGCCGTTTAACTCCACACTAAATTATTATTATTCCAAAAGCATTCCTCGCATTCTCATCCTCTTCCTGAATCTAGGGCAGCGTCTAAGAGGCGGAAAAAGTGGGGTGAATTTAATTGCAGTGCAGTTTCTCTTGTTCACTTTCTCTTTTTGTCTCTGGGGACCGTAGCCAGGGGTGAGCTGAGAGCATCTCTAGTTTTTCTGTACTCTCACCGACACACATACACACGCTTTTCAGAGATGAGAGAGACTATGATTGTGTAGTGCTGATGGTGTTGATGAAACGTGTGTTGCAGTGGTTTTTCCTCCTTCAAAACACTGAGACATCTCTAGGTCTTCTTGAATGGTTTTAGAGTTCCGTGTTATTGAATCTGAAAAGGTATTGCAGTCTGAACATAGCATTTTAGTTTGGGCTCAGGTGCTCGTTTGAAAGAACTAGCTGCATATTATTTTGAATAAACATTTCATAATGACCAACAGAAATGGTCTAGCATTACTTAGAGTAAGATGTTGTTACATTAAGTTACATTGAAGTTACATTAAAAGAATGTTTACAGGGTTTAATGACAGCAGTGACAACGAAGCCTTGTACCTTGTTCACTGGTGACTCTTGCATGGTTAAATTTGATATAGAAAACCAAATTCATGTGTATTTTTTGCCACTGATGCCTGACAGATGTGTGGATTCCTTTGGATAAATTTGATGTCCACCACAACACAGTTGATTCTTCCATGTACATGAGGTGCAGTCATAGCCATATTCTTTTCATGAATGATTTTTGGTTTGTTTGGCCTGCTGGTTAACACCTTCCTGTCCGAGAAGTGGAGCCTCTTTCTCCCTCCTTATTCCACTGCAGACGTTTTTTTTTTTTGCTTTTGACGTTTAGATGAAAGAGATGTTTAATTCAGCTTGAGAGGATGTTGTGTTAACCTGCTGGATGGATTTACCATCATCTGTGGGTCATTCATCTGGGTGTAGACTCGGTCTACTTTACAGGAATGGCAGTTTCATAATGATTGTGGAGCAGACTTTTCCAATAAGTTTCTGAACAAGAAATTCAGTGTTTGGTTAATTAATGGGTGTGTCTCAAAACCTAGTGAGCTCTCTATCCTTATAAGGCAGATAAATGAGACGCTCTAGTTAGACAGCCGTGACGTTGCCGCTTGTTCCCGCCCACTGCACGAGACCGGCGTTTACTTACTTCAGCCGTCAGAATCACAGTTAGCCAACATGGATCCCGCTCTGGCTCTGGTGGTTTATATTTTAGATTTTATAGATTTATAGTTTAGATTTTAATTGTATTTGCTCTGAATGAAACAGCAAAATAGACAATAGTTGTGGTCAAACGCGGAAAATATAGGCTCTTTGTGCACCTTTATGACTAGAAAACAGATAAATACCCCAGAAAATCAGAATAACTTACATTTCAAGATGACGTCGCTGCTTGGTGAAGCGCTTCTGCCCGGCATCTTTAAACAAAAGTTGCGTCGCGCTGCATCGCGGGATTACCTCAGCGGCTGAGGAAACATCCGATGCTCTCTCGATATTGGGCCAAAATGAGAGACCTCAGTAGGCAGCATGTTTGAAATGTTTGTCGGGGGCACGCATATTGTGACGTAAAATGCTGTCTATGTAGAGAGCTCACTAGGTTTTGAGACACACCCATTGTGTGATCTCTTGAAAAATCCTGATGCATCCCATCCTCCTTCCACATATCTGAAAGACAGTGAGGCAATGAGGCATGCGGTTTCCTGGTCTTAACCAAGAATGTGCTGGAACGCTTGCCTTCCAGTATGTGAAATGGATCCATAATGAGACCTCTGGAATGAAACATCTGGAGGTGACCACTATCCCATTCATAGTGGTAATGAGTGAAGGGTGGTCGAACAGCTGCTGTCTCTGAGTGCTGTGGCAAAAAAAAAGAAAAGAAAAAAAGCTTACTGCAGGGGTCATCAGATCCACTCCTGAAAGGCTAGAGTCCACAACTGGTGATTTACATCTGGTCAAATACACCTACTAAACTTGGTACCTAAGTACTGAGTTGATTAGGTTTCTGGATGAGGATTCTGGACCTGCAGGACAATCTGATGACCCCTGGCGTGGAAAATGGCAATGCTCTGCACATGGAAGAGTTCTGATTTCTCATCCAGGCAGAAATGTCACTTTTGTACCAATAAGAGTCCTTGGGCAAGACTCCAAATGTTATATTTGCCTGCTATGCCACGTTGCTCTGGACAAGAGCATCTGCTAAATACGTAACTGTTATTGTAAATAAATTATACGAAACAGACAGGGCCAGTGCGAGGGCTAGCCACAGCCGTCTCTTCTTCTGAACACCTGTTCAGCCTCTCAGCTGCTTGCTCCACCTCCTTATATTGCATTCATATTTCCATGCAGCAGCTGCATTAGGGTTTGTGTGTGACTGAGAATGTGATTATGTAAGGAACGTACTGAGATGCCTACCACGCGTGGGCTTGTTTGTGCGCCACGTCTTTGTTGCCAATTGATCTGCTTTCGCTACGTCTCCTCTCACTCTTTTTTTCCTTTCCATGGTTTTGGCAGTGGTGCATAGACAACTGTAAACCAAAACAAGCAGGGAACATCACTCTCGCAGGCAGTAAAGAGATATTTTTACCACATGTGGAGCTGTTGCGGGCTGAATGAGGGCAGCACTGAAGGAATAGGATGTACTGTCCTGAAAAGTCCTCAAAACTCAGATGTTCCTGGTGTGTAGGAAACTGCAGAAACTGAACTTCTTTGCAGAAGGGAATGTAGAAGAACAGTGGGAGGAAGATAAGCAGACCAAGGCAGAGTGAAAGGGTCCTATCATGATACCATCCTGTTGGGAAAGCGAGCTTGTTCCAGCATTCATAATTGTCCTAATGTTGGTTGAAAGCTGTGAGTGTGAAATGTGTGCAAGTTTCCTGCTAGAATTCACCTGCCTTGCTGATTTTCTGCAGTTTTAACTCTAATTTTAGCCTTAAAGTATTCATTGGGTGATACATTTC